CTTGACTTTTGCACTGATATTTTTTTTCTTTTTCCCTTCCAGCTTAACTGCTGCCAAAAGTGGATTTCTTTATTGGAAAGTTTGAGCAAGGGCAGTTTGTCCATTTTGGAAGATGAGAATACTACTCGTTATGAAAGTACCAGGGTTTTTTTGTTTTCAGATTAAAATATGTGGAAGCAGAAAGTTAAGATGTTCTGGAAGACAAGTTTGGGAGTTAGAGAAGAATCGATTTTGATAATACTGAGCTATGGTCTACTGAAAATCATAGGCTATGTGTTCCCAGTTTGTTTTCCTCCCTGAGCTCAAATGTTATGGCAGAGGGAAGATCTGCCATGTGGGTAGTGTTGTTTGAGAAAACAGCAAGTAACACTTGGGTTGATTGTCCCCCTCTGCTCTGCTCTGGTGAGACCTCACCTGTGGTGCTGCATCCAGCTCTGGGGTCATGGCATAAGACATGTGGAGCTGCTGCAGTGAGTCCAGAAGAGGCCATGGGAGATGCTTCAAGAGCTGGAGCCCCTCTGCTCTGGAGAAAGGCTGAGAGAGCTGGGGGTGCTCAGACTGGAGAAGAGAAGGCTCTGGGAAGACCTTGGGGCCCCTTCCAGAGCCTGAAGGAGCTCCAAGAGAGCTGGAAAGGGACCTTGGGCAAAGGCCTGGAGGGACAGGATATGGGGGAATTGCTTCACACTGACAGAGGGCAGGGTTAGATGGGATGTTGAGTGAGTGAGGCCCTGGCACAGGTTTCCCAGAGCAGCTGTGGCTGCCCCATCCCTGGAAGTGTCCAAGGCCAGGTTGGACAGAGATCTGGCTCCAGGCCTTGGAGCAACCTGGGATAATGGAAGGTGTCCCTACCCACGGAATGAGATGATCCTTAAAGTTGCTTCCAACTCAAACCATCCTGTGATTCTATGATTCTATAAAACAAAAATAACTGGTTTTACAACTTTTTATATTATTTATATTTTACTCCCCTGTCCTAAAGACTGCTGATATTGAATATGTTTATTTTTCTGATAAAGTGACAAATACAGATACCTCCTTCAGGCAAGAAACTTAAGCTGAAAATGCTTGTTCTTATGGATTTCTGTTCCCTGTCTTACGCTGTTTTAGCACTGAGCAGTGTCTGAAGGTGTTGCTTCTCTTGCCATGCAGGGCTCTCTGTGGCATCACCACCAGTCAGGGTACCCTGCTTGCACTTGCACAGCTCTGAGGGAACTTTTCAAACTTGATCTGAATATACAAATCAATTTGAAATAAATCTGTTGTGCTTAACAGTCTTCTAATGATGACTTGTTAAAATTATCTGCAGTATGGTTATAGCTGGGTCACTGGAAAACTGTTGTTAGTTGCCTATTTAATTTTTTTTTACCCTGTTTTTTTTCTTTCTTTTTATGTGAAATAATTCACTGATATCAGTAGTCGTTGTCTTGGCAGAAAATAAAGAGTAATTGAGAAGTTTGGAATGAAAAGTATGCTGTGTTGTGAATTTGTATTGAAAGCAGGACCTTTCTGAAATGCATTCATGCAGCTGCTTGCCCTGATGCCAGAATTACAGTAATTAGGGAATTGCTTAAAATATTTTACTTTGCTTTTTGCTGCTTTTATGCAAATTAAACAATGACATGGAGCTGCCCACTATGTCACTTCCATTTTTGTCCTCTTCAAAATGTCCAGCTTTTTGGAAAGGATGGTTGTAAACATAATAAACAATTTGAGGAACTAAATAGCTTTAAGAAGAGTTTTCCCACAGCACTGGAGACATAATAATAAAAAATCATGTTCCATCTCAACCTTTTGAAACTCATTTTAAAATAAAATTAATACTGCTCTTTCAAAATGTGGCATTTATCTTCTGAAGGACGTGAAATGCTACTCAGCTTAGACTGGGTTTCTTCTTGGCACCCAAAATTTTAGTTGTTAGCCCAAGCCAGGCAAAATTATTTTATGCTTTTATAATTTGATCAGCTGCCAAGTTCTCCCAGACTTAACCATCTTAATTTCTTCATCTTCATTGATGAAGGAGCATGGATTTGACAGTGGAAGGGGAGGTACCAGGGCTATGTGCCATATAGGCCCTTGTTTTTGGAGAGATGAAGGCAGCTGGACTGTCTTCAGCATGGAGCTTGTGGAGCCACAGAGATGTAACTCAGTTTAAATGGGAGAAACCTGTGCCTTACTATTGGTTGGGATAATTTCAATTCCTGTATGTAACTAGCCGTGGACAGGACACAGATTACTTAATCAGCCCAGTTTGGCTGTAAAACCTGTCTGATTGTTAGCAGGCATCTTTCACAAGTTAAGCCAAGTGTATCAGTTCTAAGAGAAGGTGGTTGGAACCAGAATTGCTGCTTGTTTCACAAATGAGATTTGGGTCACAGGACATCTCCTGCTCAGGGGCTTCTAGAGGTCAGTAGATCTGTCCATGAAAAGGCAAGTGGCATATCCCATCTTCTGCACATGGAAGAATATGACATTGGTCAGGGCATTGCTGCATCCCCACAAATATTGCTGTCTGAAAAGTATTCCCTTCTTGGATCCGTGGGGCCTGGGAGCAGGAGGCATACATGTGTGTTTATCGGTACCTTAAAGAGTCCTACTATATTTAAAGATATTTCCTTCTGTTACTGTTTGAAGCTTTATTCACAAGTGCATAGCAAGAAATGTATTTCATTTGGAAGTTAAAAATTTAGCTTTCAAAATGCATTTCTCCAGGCATGTGCCCTCTCTGGCAGAGTCTGTAACCTGCCTGGGATGTGTGTCTGGAGACAGCAGAGCAATAATGTAATTTTCTGGAGATGTGGCTTGCCATTACTTGTATCATTCTTTATTTCATTGTGACCATTTAAGTAGCAAAACCCTTACCCTCAGAGTCTTCTGTAAGTGCAGATTTTGGAAAAAAAAAAATTTAACTGTACTCTTATAAAGAAAATGCCATTTTAGACTTGTTCAGGAAAAGAGAGCGCTCCTGCTCATGTACTGTGTCATCACTCAGCCAGGCATCTCTGTCCCCTCTGCACTCACCTAGAACTGCATCACTTCTCCCGACTTGCAGTTTTATTTGGGGGTTTCAGCATCAGTGGCCTGAGCCAGTGTGATATCAAGAAACTTTTTGAATGACTCATGTTTGTGCCAGATGAATTCACCTGACCAAAGCTTCCCACCTGTGGTTGCCCTTATAGGTAACATGAGTGGTAAAAGCATGAGTGAGAGGGGTGAGCCAATCTCGTGTTGTTCTCTGTCCTGTTTCTGTGCTTTTCTCTGAGGTTACAGCGTTGGATGCCATCAGCTCCACTCACACCAGTTCAAATCCCAAAGCTATGCCAGATTTGCAGCACTGCACAGCTGTCAGACTTTTTCTCATTGAAGTTTTGGGAATTTTTTTGAAGTGTTACAGAGGCATTTAGCTAAATTGCATAGTTCTAAAAATGACAGTTAATCTTTTTCCTGTAAGAAGCAGTTGCTTTTGAACTTTTATGCACCCCAGTAAAGTGAAATAATTGCCCCAGCTTTCACAATATTTTTTACCTTTTAAACCTAAAGGGACCCATTCTTTCTCTCAGATATTTTCATTTACATTTTATTAAATTATTCTAATTCTAACACTAATTTGACTTTAAAATGAATAAGGGTAGATTTAGATTAAATGTCAGAAAGAGATTCTTCCCTGTGAGGGTGGTGAGGCCCTTACACAGGTTGCCCAGAGAAGCTGCTGCTGCCCCATCCCTGGAAGTGTTCCAGGCCAGGTTGGACAGGGCTTGGAGCAACCTGGAATAGTAGAAGGTGTCCCTGGAACTGGATGAGCTTTAAGGTCCCTTCCAACCCAAACCATTCTGTGATTCTGTGATAACTTATTATAATGTCTAATACTTTTCAAAAGAGACACTGTTCTGAGTTTAAAGAGTCGATTACAGAACTCTGTGCCTGCTTTGATGGGAAAGTTGTCTTCCATCACTCTTGACTCTTCCACAGGAACAAACCTCTGTGGCATCAATGCTGCCAGTGTGTTCTGTCAGATAACCCAGCTGACCAGAACGATGCCAGACCCTGTCACTGCAGTTATAGGATCACTTCCATGGTCCAAGGTGGAGCTTTGTGGCCGTGCAACCTCCCTCTGCACCCTGCTGGGTTTTGTGTGTTGCCGGAATGGGCACCTAGAGGTGTGATAGCCCTTTGGATTCTCTTCTGAGTGATCCACCCTGCTGGGTTTTGTGTGTTGCCGGAATGGGCACCTAGAGGTGTGATAGCCCTTTGGATTCTCTTCTGAGTGATCCAGATGGACTGATGTGTGGGTTCATAAATGCTGTTTTTCTTGTGGTGGCTGCTACAGTCGTGCTGAGAGCAAACTGGGATGATTGAACAAGCAGCCCCAAGGGGAGCTGGTTTTGATGTGCTGTGGAAGTTTCCTGTTTTCTCCTCTGTTGCCGTAGCTGCTTTCTGACAATGTTTGGTTTGTGGGTTTGCCTCTAACTTGACTGTCAAAAAGGGTTGGTGAGTGGGTTTCTTGAGGGAGGGATTCATCAAAAGGACTCCACAGCAAGTGTGGTGTAACAGGAGGGTGGTTGGGGTTCCCACTGGCCTGCACTGGGATCCCTGGTGTTGGAAGGAGCGAGGGGTCTGCGTGGAGCAGGGATTTGGCAGTCCCTGCTCGGTGTGCTGCTGGGGCAGACCACACCATCCAGCTACACAAACAAACGTGTGGGTTTACTGAAGGAGCTGCAAATAGCCTGCAGCTGGTCTCCTCGGGTCTCGTGGCTGACCCTGCTGTGAGAAGGAGGCTGGACGTAGGTGACCTCCGGTGGCCCCTTCCAGCTTCAGTTCCTCTGGTTCTGTGAAGGTTTTTTATGTGGAGCTGTGCCTGTGTTTGTGTCTTACAGTGACGAGAATAATGTGAAAAACCTTCGTGATATTTTTCTACAGTTTCTAAAGATGTCATAATTTGTTTTTTAATTTACTGTAAACTGATACATATTAATCTCACTGTAACTTTTTTATTACTTCCTTAGTCAAAATGCTACGGCCAGACATTACTGACAGAAGTTTACAAGCATCTGAATTTGATTGAATCAGACTACTTTGGAATTGAGTTCCAGAACATCCAGTCATATTGGGTGCGTACCCCGACAAATCTGGTATAATAAAAAGCTTGGGTGAACGCAGTTCCTTGAGTGTCAAGTGTTTCCAAGTCTGCTGGAGTGTCCTGTAGGATCATCTCTTGGATTCTTGTAGATCTGCTTCGCTCACCAGATGACGACAACTACTAAAGCAGAGGGGAGGAATCAGATTCTGCTGCTTCTTAAATCTCAGAAAATGTATAAAGCTGTTAAATAGCTGCTGATATTCCCACTTTTCAGGGACAGAAATAAAATCCTGCTTTCCTCTGAAAGGGGAAACATCAGCTCAAGGTGTCCTCTGTGGAGCACCTATAAAATCATAGCACAGTGTGTAATTTTGGTAGCGTTCATATTCATCCTCAGTTAATTCAGTCTTCAGTTCATGTCCTTGAGGAGCCATTACAAACCTCTTTCCAACACAAACCTCAGCAGGCACACAGGCCTGCAAGCTTTTTAAGTCATTGATCTAGATCAATGCTGACACCTTTAAGCCTCCTAGTCACTTATCCTGTACCTTGCAAAGAGGACAATGTGGCTTCTAAACTAGAAAATGTCCCCCAAACCCTCTTTTCCTTCTTTTTTTTCCCCTGTTACTTTTTCTAGTTTTAGGACGTGCAGAAAATCTGACTGAGAACACAGGGAATGCTAATGGCACTAATCCACACTGCTCTTGAGCTGAGGAAATACAGTAAAACTTGTTTAGTTTCCAGTTCTTCTGCATGGTTTCCAAACTGTTACTGCAGCTAATAAGGTTCTTAAAATCCTCATCTGTCTCTCAGACAGAGCAATAACTAGTAAGGACCAAACATAGTTGTCTTGTAACAGTTTTTTCTTTGGAGGGGTGGGGAAGATAAAAGGTGGAACATCTAGAATATTTTGCATTACTTTTATGGATGCTCCTTTTATGGGAACAGCAATAGTCTTTCCTTTAAAATATGCTTGTCAAAAGAGGAAAAAATGGTGGGAAATTAATAACTAGTAAAAACCCTTAAGTAGGTAGATAAGAGTGCCAGAAAAAGCATGGAAAGGGAAAAAAAAGTCGGACCTTTTCTTGTTCTCCAGACTTTCTGTAATTCTGCAGCCTGGCTCCTGTCTGGTCATGGGTTTTGGCATGACTCTTGCCTTCTTGGCAGTGGGGCTGTGCTTTTGCTGACTTGGCTCTTTTTCTGTCCAGAGGAGCTTTAAGCACAGATCAGTGATTTTTCTACTGATGCATGAGAAATGTCAATTCAAATAGATAAGTACACTTTTTGTAAAGCAAAGGAATTACTGCATTGCGGAAGAAATGCTGCTCATAAATTACTGCTTAATTTGAATTTACTTTTGATGTTCTCATATTATATTCAAATAAGAATGTCAGTTTGTAATTTTTTTTTCTCTGCAATTTCAGATTTGGCTGGAGCCTATGAAACCTGTTATTAAGCAAGTACGGAGTAAGTAGTTTTAAAAAAGGAAGTTTTCCTTAATTTGCATCTGCTTTATGTGGGTTGCTTTCACAATTACTACTTGATTTACTGGTTATGCTTCCCTGCAAATTACACATGGTAGTGGTGATAGTGGTTCCTGTTGGGACATGCCAACCTGATGTTTTTAATAGGTAGTGTGTCGTGGGTGGAGTGGAAACTTACTGCAGGTAGGATTCTTTCTGTGATAAATATCTAGACAGATTGGGTCAGCTGGTGTTATGTTGAAGTGAAATATAACACTTGCTGTTTGTAAGCTTTTGCAAGTTGTGTTGTCATACCGTGGGAAGAAAAGGGAATATTTTGGCTGATTCCCATGTGAGCTCTTTCCATGTGCTCAGGAGCAGCTTTGCTGGAGGAGTAGAGGTAGGGATCTCCCACCTGGATGGTGGCTTCAGAGCTTCTGCTTTGGCTGTAAAATGCAGTTCTGCTCCCTGGCCAGGAGGATGCTGCAATAGCGAGGCTGTCTTGTCTTTATACCACTCTAAAAAGTAATGTCAGAGGTAATGTAAAGGTGAAAAATAATTGGAGAATGCAGCATGCAGGTTGGTTCTTCAGATGTTGAAAGATTAGATCCAGCTTTTTTTTTTTTTCCCTTTAGAGCAGAGTTAAGCTGTTTGCTTGTTTTCTGGTTCTGAGTGCAGAGGCTTTGTGGAAGAACAAGATCAGGAGGGTGTGGTGGAATCCTATTCCTTTCCAAATTTTGATTGAAATATGTTAAAAATTAGTACTGGGAAGTAGTTTTTAGTTAGTCTTCTGCCTAAAATTGATTGCCAGAAACTATGAAATCACCAATTCTAGCCAATTTTTTAACCTTAAAGTCAGGATTTTGACTTTTGCCAACGTTGTTTTTTAAGCAGAAGAGCCAAACCATCTATAAAAGGCTTCCTTCGAAGGGTATACAATACTTTGACTCTCTGTTTTCCCTGCCAAAAATATATTGGAGTGCCAACTTTTTATTTATTCCTGGCTGGAAGGAATTATATCCTAGTTAAAAGATCTGGTGGACCACAGCTCTGCAGTGCTGCTTGGTTACTTCTTCTGTATTCTTTTCTATACCATATAAATTGGGGAATCTTGACCTTAGATCGTAGATGGTGTTCCCTGAGGGGACAAATATTGTTCTAAAATGATCTAAAATCATGGGGACTTGCTAAAAGTTTTGGCTGCTTTGTGGTCTACCACCCACGTTATGTTGCCAGGGAAACCGAAAGATTTATTTTAAAATTTCTAAAATTTTAATCTGCAAGAGATACCAGTCACTTGTCTGGCAGATATTCACATTCTGAAATCAGTTTTAAATTGATTGAAATGTCCTGTTTTCTGTATATTGGGCTTTTTGTTTGTTTGAGGGTTTCTTTAGAATTTAATGATTTTGAAGTTAACCTTTAAACTTTTAGCCTAGCAGCAGGGGAATGTTATCATTGGCTTTAAGGTGTTCCAGCTCAAACCTGTTGCTGGTGATTGCTTTGTAGCTGCAGATATGCACTTCTGAGTCTTTGACATCCTCTCTAAACACAAAAGTTCTTGATTTACTTTAAATTAGCCTTGGCTGATGACCTGTTCTGAGACACATTTAGCTTTGTGTTGTGTGGTAAGAATTTTATTTTGATTATTTTCAAATGAATGCAGTCAGTTTTACAACCAAACCACTCCAGAAGGCAAGGAGTTTGGATCCAAATTTTCAGCTCCCTAACAGGCACACAATATCAGGTTGGCATTTGGGTACCTTCTCTGAGGTGCTGCCAGTTTATGGAGCGTTGTGTTCACCATCCCTGCCCGAGTGATTTTTCCTCACATCTCTTTTGTTGTTGTTGTTCTTGGTTTTGCTCAGATTTGGCTTCTGAAAAAAAATTCTGCATCTCGGTTAACACTGGTCAAGTGTTTCTTTTCCTGATTTGAATGGGACTTATTTATAGAGGAAAGGCAAGGTTGACTAAACAAAAAGAGGAGGGTTGTGCTAGAGCAAATATGCAGTATTATGTTTTTAATTTTTTATATTTATTGTCATTTGATGTAAGTGATGCTCGAAACACTTCCAAAATTGCTCCCACATTGATACTTTCCAGTTGACTGGCATCACTAACATGCAGAACTGTTCTTGACCTTGTGAAGATCTTCCAAAGGCTCAGGGTATTTTCAGAAATTTGATGTGAAGTTTTGGTTTTTTTACTGGAATCATTAAAACTATTCATTTTCCTCACTTGCTGCATCTCAAGAACTATAAAATCCTTAGTCTCTGCCAAATGTGAGCTTTCTGTGTCATTATACTATGTCATTTCCAGCCTTCTTTTATTTCTAGATATTACACTGTAATTGGGATGTGGATTTTAGTTTTTTTCATTCACCAAAGCTTTAGTGATTCTGGGATTAGAGGCTAGGAGCTGCTCTTGTGACAGCTGTGATAATCTGTGAGTCAGTTCTCCCAGTCAAAAAGCAAAGTCTGTAATTCCCTCATTAGCAAACAAGAGTGAGTGGAGAAACATTTGGCATATGGGAATTGGGTATTCCAGACAGAAGAAATCCGTGTGCTTTGGGGCTGATGGGGTTAAATTGGACTTCGTCAAGCTTTAAGAGATCTTGATGCTTAAAATAAATCAAAGCAGGCTGTCTTGTGCTTCCCAGCATGCTCCAACAAATTTGATTTTTTTTTTAATTTTTTTTTTTTTTTTAATTTGGCTAAGCTTGCTTTGAAACAGCAGTGGCACACGGAGTCCCGGGGTGGCTGGGCCTGGCTCTTGCCCGGAGGGTGCCTGCAGCTGTCAGGTGGATGCTCTGCAGACCCCTGTGAGGACAGGCTGGCCAGTACTCCTCCTGCCTGCAGAACACTCGGCCTCGTCTGTTTTAAGGCAGGAAAAACAGCGGGAAAACGGTGGTGCCCAGTCCTGGCATGGAGAGCAACTGTGGTACCCTGGAGTAATTCCTTCAAAACTCCGGGTGCAGCAGGGGCTGTGGTTCAGCAGGGGCTGTGGTGCAGCCTGGGCTGTGGTTCACAGACTGGGTCGTGGTGCAGCAGGGGCTGTGGTGCAGCAGGGGCTGTGGTGCAGCAGGGGCTGTGGTGCAGCAGGGGCTGTGGTTCAGCAGGGGCTGTGGTGCAGCAGGGGCTGTGGTGCAGCAGGGATTGTGGTGCAGCAGGGGCTGTGGTGCAGCAGGGGCTGTGGTTCAGCAGGGGTTGTGGTTCACAGGCTGGGTCGTGGTGCAGCAGGGGCTGTGGTTCACAGGCTGGGTCGTGGTGCTGGAGCGGTTCACGCGGACCAGTCGTGGCTGTGTTTTGTTGTAAAACGCTCCGCAGAGCGTTATGGACCGTTCCCAGCAGTGACTGAGGATGCTGTTTAATTTTGAACATTAAATTAGTTTCCTGCCTGTTGCTGAGATGGACAAGGAAGTGTTGAAAATGGGAGGAAATGGGTATTACCAGGCATGCCAGGAGCGGGCTGCAAACACCCTTTATCTCCACAGGGAGCCAGATGGGTCCAGCCAGGCTTGTGGGTTCAGTTCTGATCGTGTGGATGGTACTGGGAGCCTGTGGGGTGTGTCTCCTCTCTCCTCCCCTTCTGGGACCCTTTCACTGGGTCACATGTGATGCTGTTGTATGCAGCCAAGTAGTTGCTTTGGGGTGTTACAGATTTCACGTTGAACAGAGCTCTTTTTACAGCGCTGAGCCTGCAGACTCACCTCTGCAGTGGTATCCAAGTTCTTTTGGAAACTAGCTGCTATATCTCTGTTGACATGGACAGTCTGTACCCCAGACTCTGCTGTGGTTAGGTGGGAGTTGAAATCTGGCTAGACTTCATGTGTGTTGTGTTTCTCTGCTCGTTGGCAAGCAGAATATGCATGTGCTTATGAAGAACGCCTGGGGTTTTTTTGTGAAATGACCAACTTTTCTTCTAGGACCAAAGACTACAATGCTTCGTTTAGCTGTGAAGTTTTTCCCTCCAGACCCGGGTCAGTTGCAAGAGGAATATACCAGGTAAAGTATTTTTAGAACTATTAGATTTGCATTACCTACTGAATTAATAGGGAGGTAACAGTAGGAGGGCAGTGCAGCTGCTTCCTAACAGAACTCAGGTGGAAGATGAGTCAAGGAGCACTTGGAGTGAGTGTCACAGTTTCAGCAGACGTGTTGGCAGATGACTGGTGTCAGAAAAAATACTTTTCAAAACAGAGAACAGCACAGATTAGCACTTACCAACAACATGGTGTCAAAGGAGTCAGAGTATATAGAAAATAGTAAAATTTATAAACGGTGCCTATATAAAATAATCAGTACATACTTTAATAAGTTATTTAGAATTTAAACTTCCGAAGCCCACACTTTGCAGCTAAAAATGACGGCTGCAGTTACTGCCCAAAGAACCCTGCTTAAAATGTGGTTTTCCTTCTGCTGTGAGTCCGTTGTGCTGGATAAATTGCACTGGATAAGTCCTGTGTTGATAAATTATACTGCATAAGTCATAGGCTATTTTGTTTGATTTGACTGTCCTCGGTAGCCAGGCTGCTGTGTTACCTTGGGTTTGGAGAGAGGAAGAATTAGGAGTTGCTGGTTTTATAACCCCCTGCTCAGTTGTTCTGTCGTCATTTCATTCTGTCAAGGATGGTCCTTGTAACTCCAGCCCTTGTACCTCTCCCTCAGGTACCTGTTTGCATTGCAAATCAAGAGAGACCTGGCAGAGGAACGACTGACCTGCAGCGACAACACGGCAGCTCTGCTGGTCTCCCACCTTCTGCAGTGTGAGTATCCCTGCTGGGCTGACATTGGTGCTGGTGCTGTCCCAGGTTAAATAGCACACAGAAGCTTTTGGTAGCTAAAAGCCATCTCTGCCTCATGGTATTTCCTTCTCTACACACTGTAAAACGTGTTGATTTGCAGCCCTGGAAGGGTCATCCGGGCTGGCTGTGGGGAGGAACGGCTGGTGCTTACGTATGAGAGAACTTTGGCTTCGTGGAGGATGTAGGAAACCAAACCCCTTCCGTGTTGTCTGTTGTCCCTGGCTCTGCAGGCCATGTCACCAGCACTCCACATCTTCCAGACAGATGTTCCCATCTGCCTCTCTGCTCCCTCCACTGGGCTTCTCACTTTCCCTGTGCCTGGGGGAAGATGGGTGTATAGGAACTGGGCTGAAACGCAGCTAGAACTGTGCCAGAGCAAGTTCCACAGTGGAGCTGTCAGCAGCTTTCCTCCTCACTGGGAGTGAAAATGAAAATGGGAAGCGATTGACTTGGAAGCCTTCCATGCTGCTGCTGACTTGGTCTGTCTGTACCTAAAGACCTAAAAACATGACCTTTGAGACAAGGAGGTTGGAAACCTTGGTTGGGTTTGGACACCAAATTGCTGGAGCGGCAGCTGGAGCGTTCACACATCTGCAACCTGAGCTGCAGACAGGACCTTTTGGGGCTCTTTGGTGACTGGAAGCAAAAGCTGTTCAATGATGTTCGTCACACGTGCACTGCTAAATAATTATTAGTTATCTAATTCTGCATTGCAATATAATAATGCAGTTATAATAGTTAGGGTGATTTTATTGGAGGAGTGTATCTGTCTCGTGTGTGTGCCATCAGTGAGTGATGCCATTAAAACCTGCTCATGATTTCCCAGCAGTGGGGAACTGCTGAGCAAATCTCACCATCGGGTCTTCCTTAGCTTGATTTTGCTCTGCTGGAAAATTGGATGTGAGAAACAATACTTTTATTTTGAACAAAAATTATTTTACAGAAATCATTTAAATATTTTTTACTTGTTTCGTATGCTGGCTTGATGCTAAACAGGATTTGCTGTGTTCTTGTTAAGAACAAGTCCACTCCTTTTTCCAATGGTAGCTGGTGGCAGATGCTGTGGGGAAGCCCTCAGACACAGAACAGGCATATGGCAACTCTTCCTTTGCTGCATCCATCCCATAATCTCTGCATGTGGCCTTTCTAAGTCAGAGACTGACTGCATCTCTGCGTTTAGTTGCCCTTGTGTTTGTCTAATTTTTGATTTTGCTTATATTTTTGGCATCCTTTCAGGGAAATGAGCTTCACAGCTTAGTTTTTGGGAGGCTTTTAGGATAACATGCGTGCTTTTGTCTTTTAAAAACTTTTGTGCTTTAATATTGTAACTTCATATTTTACTATCATCAAAAGTTAAATTACTTTTTTAAATTTATTCAACTTGTAATTTTTATATACATATGCCATACGTTCTGCCTGCCTTGTGCTTTTCTTTTCTGAGCTGAAGACTTCATACCAGATGGAAGCTGTTCTGTACTTTCTAATCATGCTTTTTCCTTCTGTAAATCTCTTCTTAAATCCACTGTGTTGTATCTGAAAGACATGGATATGTGAAGGGGGAGACCAAAAGTCCAGATGTAATTTGCCATCTTGCCAAGTAGCCTTGCCCGTTACTATTTTACAAAAGTTTAGAAAAAAATACATTGAAACATGCTGGTTGTTATGAGGTATCTGTAAGTAAGAAATGTTCACACCACCTTGTGGGTCTTCTGCAAGTCTAAATTTTCCAAATTATGTTTAAATACTGCTCTAATTCCCAGGAAGTCTTCTTGGGATAAATGTACGAGTTTGGTAAAATGAATCTGGAGAGAAAGCGTGATGCACAAATTTGAAGCACTTAAAGGCTCTTGGAGTCTCTGTAATTCCTTACCAAGTATTTTCAGTCATGATTCCTTTTCTGTTGTTTCTTCTTACTGTAACACTGTTTTGTTTTCTTCTTGTTCTAAAATGGTTTTATTTTCTGTCATAGCTGAAATAGGGGATTTCGATGAATCGGAGGATCGAGAACACCTTAAAACAAACCAGTATTTGCCAAACCAGGAAAGGATTGAAGGAAAGATCCTGGAGTTCCACAGGAAGCACGTGTAAGTGAGGATTGAAGTAAACCCCTGATGTAACCCCTGGGGAGCATGCAGGCTTGCTTGGGGGAGGTTGAGCATGTTGTGTGATAGGATGATGTCAGGAGAGTGTGCATAGGTCTTGCTTTTGTCTAACAATTGCATCATAGTCATTCTGTACTCATTAAGCACAAGGAAGATGAAGAAGGTTGGAGGGAGTAGGGGAGAAATAACTTTCATCAGAATTCATGCAACACCTTATTTTATAGCTGGGGTATTTTTGAAATAATGGAAGATTATTGATGACAAATAAACTCTTCGCCACATAAAACTAGTTCCAACACGCAGTCAAGACCTGCAGGAACTTATTCTTCTGTAATTTTTGAGACACCTTGCACATTAGAATTTAGCAATTTGAAGGGCTTTTGTTAATTGTGAATATCTTCATGCACGCTTTATTGTGCCTGGTTGTGTGTTTTAATCTGAATGCTATATTAGAAATTTAAATGTTCCTTTTGCTTTATGTGGGTAAAATCATGGATTGTTGCTGACTGACTTTCTTTTCAGATAGAACAAGGAGGTTTTTCAGGGCAGCATCAGTGTTTAAGGCCAAGACACATCCTGTAGTATTGGAAAATTAGTTCCTGAGAATTTCAATAATTAACTCTTCGAAACTGTTTATGATCACTGATTTTCAGTTGTGCTGAAATTATTGGTAAGGATGGAATTTCAGCTTTGTCAGTTCTTCATGAAATCAGGTGTTTGTTACTTTTTCCTGCTTTGAACCTTCAAGGTGCACGTGGAAATGGTTAAAAAAGAAACTAAAAGTTTGGTTTTGTTTTTAAATGATTTAAAGTAATTCTGAAATAAAATGTATGCTAGGGTTCTTCACCTTGGGAGAAGGTAGCTGGAGGAGGGAAACCATTAATTTCATTATTTTTCTCTTGTCAAAAGAAAAGTGCTGAAAGAGTTACTAACTTCAAAGCAAACTAAAAGAGGGAACATTCTTTCCATGGAACTCGTTGTGACCCTGCTGCAAGGTGTGGTGGTGTCTGAAACTACAGATGGCTCGTGCAAGGTTTTGATGACATCATTGCATAAGCTGATGGTGTCAAATTTGAGATGAAATGTGGTGGTTTTAGTTCTGGGATAAGAACCCTCAGAAAATGCACAGAACAGCCCTGTGTTAGTCACATGCCTGGATTCTGTTGAGTTGCTTGTGAGGAATTTTCTTGGTTTACTTCTCTTGATGCAAAGGTTGTGACTGTCTTCTGAGTCAGGGACTGGTGGTTTTGTTAACTAGGTTTGAGCTTTTTTTTTTTCGAACAAGTTACTTCTAATCATTTGTTACAGTAAGGGAAGTTTGCATTTTTGTGTTGTTTGTCCAGAAGGAATCAGAGGAAGGTTAATAGGAAAAGATTCCTTGCTTCATAAGTGTACTTTTCATTAGTTTAGAAAGAATTACGTCTAATGCAGCCATACTATTAAAATTATTGTAAATCTTATTTTAAAGCAGTGTTTTAGAAGTGCACATGCAAACCACGTTAAGATTAACAGCTGGGGCATGTAGTTAGAAAAGGTTGCCATTGGGGGTTAGCAATAACCTTGAAGGCACATTTTGAATCCCCCCACGCCTTTGGAAAAAGTTTTGTTAGAGAGATGTCATTTTGCAAGCACTGCAGTCCTAAAAATAGCTGTGACTTCTGTGGTTTAACCCCAGCTCAGCCCCACACAGCTGCCTGTTCCCCCTCGGTGGGGTGGGGGAGAGAATTGGAAGGGTGAAAGTGGGAAAACTCAGGGATTGAGATACAGGCAGTTTAATAGATGAAGCAAAAGCCACACAAGCACGCAGAGCAAACCCAGGAATTCATTCCTGACTTCCCATGGGCAGGCAGGTGTCCAACCATCCTCAGGAAAGAGGTGTCCATCACACATAATGATGATGGGGGAAGACAAACACCATCACTCCGAATGTCCTTCTCTTCCTCCTTCTTCCCCTGGCTCTCCATGCTGAGCATGGTGCCAGATGGGGTGGAATATCCCCAAGGTCGGCTGGGGTCAGCTGTCCTGGCTGTGGCCCCTTCCAGCTTCTTGTGCTCCCCCAGTCCCTTGCCACTGGAGTGTGTGTAGAGCAGAGAAGGCCTTGGCTCTGTGTGAGCTCTGCTCAGCAGTAAGGAAAACATCCCTGGGTTATCCACAGTGTTTTCAGCACAAATCCAAAACACAGCCCCATACCAGCTACTGTGAAGAAAATTAACCCCAGCCCAAACTAGTACAACATCTCTCTTCCCTTGCTCAAGGAGTATTGGCCACCCTTTCCTATCTTTAGCAGTTGAGGAGGTCCCGTGTTTTCTCAGTGCAGACCCATTTTTCCTCTCTTCTGTTCCAAGGAACAGGCAGGAGCAGGGACCTGGGGCATTTGGCTCCTTCCTGGTGATGCAAAGTGCAGTTGGACAGACATAAATATTTCCCTCTCCTATTATTCTGGTGTGTCATATTTTTATTTTTGTGGTTTGTTTTCATTTTATTATTTCCTTTAATTGACCTTGTTATTCCCCCACTTACTTTTAGCAGACTGATATTTTCAAGGCCAGGTTGGATGGGGCTTGGAGCAGGCTGGGCTAGTGGAAGGTGTCCCTGCCCATGGCAGGGGGGGTTGGAACCTGATGATCTTTAAGGTCCCTTCCAACCTAAACCATGCTGTGATTCTTCACTGATGATTGCTTCTGACAGAGACTTCTTGTACTAACTGAACATCTGGGAAGAGAAACCCGTTTCTGGCAGGGTGGTTCATTTCCAGACCAGCGCTGCAGCACCTTCTTTCTGCCTCAGATTCCCTTCTTTTTTTAAATTGCTTCACTGTAGCTATTAGAAGTTGTAGAGCATCATCAACCTGAATGAAGCAGAACCTCTATATCCAATCCATTCTGTATATTGAGAATGTTAGAAAGATGACAATTGAAAGCTTATTTTCTATTAAATATTTTTTTTCTTTCACTTTTACAAATACTTTCTTTTACTTCCACAAGTAGACTATGCTTAACTTTGCAAATGTAGTAATGGTAAACAGAATGAGTTATATTTTTGGTGTAGCATATTACTTAGTTGCTTCAGCAAGAGGCTGAGTTTACTTATTTCTGTAGTTAATTAAAAAAAAGAAAGGGTTTATATTTTGTAGATGGTGTATTGATGGGGGTGCAGTTAAATCCTGACTCAGACACTCAAAATACAATTTTTGCTGTCTTCCTGAGAGTAGTAGAATACTTGCTGTGAGGTGAGTGCAGGCCAGGATTCAACATGTGTTCACATGGCTGTGGTTTCTTTGTCAGGAAAGAAGTAGAAGATTTGATAGATTTATATTTACATTTACTGTTGTCCTTTCACAACTTGTTAGCCTAGTTGTCCATGATTTAAATTCTTTCAAGTGTGTATAAATTAGAAAAATTCTAACTTCACACTTCATCTTTAAAGTTCTACATTGATTACTGGGTTTAAATGCCCTGTAAATCATCTAACACTTGACAGCATTTATTCTGAATCCATTACCACGGGAATATTGTAACACACAACCAGTATTTGTACACGTAAGTGGATGTAAGGAACCCTTATGTTAAAACCTATTGCACTGACAGCAGTTTTTGCTGGAAATACTGTTAATAGATAGTCTGTTGTCCATTGACCTGGGGAAGATTAAGTAGATTTATCTGCTTAATGGCTGAACAAAATTAGAGCAGATTGTTTTGGGGCTGGGCTGTGCAGCTAAGCCTGCAGCCATCATCTGAGGGCAATTACTGAAACTGCTCTCTTTGTACCTGTCTGTGGCACAGCCTGGCTTCGCTCCCAGCTTCCCCACACCAGGCTCTGCCTTCTTTGGTAGGTACAGGCAGCTTGTGTGCAAGAGAACACTCTTAAAATTGGCTGCTACCTTATTTTTTTATTTTTTTCTGGGATGTGCTGTGCTTTGGATCATATCTAACGTGAAATAACTGTCAGTGATTCTGCATCAGTTACACCAGACTGTTCACGAGGAATTTTTAGTACTATATAGCTCCAATGTTCTAGTTGCCATTTTGTTTTTGTCTCCCTTCCCTCCTTGCCAACCTCAGCACCCTCTTTAAAAGACAAAGGCCCACTTTCATTCCCAATGTCGTTATGTTCAAAAGAATTATAGCAGGAATTAGTGTGGGTGGGAGTTACACACAGTGCTCTCAGAGTGTAACCGAGGAAGCTGTAGCCAAAAGTAGGATTTATGATCCACTTCTTTTGTGTTGTATGTGTTTAACAAACAGGAACCATGGTACTCCTGCTTTTATGACGCAGTTGAGGAATCTGTGGTAGAAATGGAAACAACACTTAAAAGCTGGTATTAAAAGCACTTACTCATTTCAGTGAGGGGAGGAGAAATCTGCTTTGCCGGTTGAAGCTCTTGGACATAACTAGTACATGTAACAGTAACACTGGTAGAAATGCAGCTACAAGGCTCTCTCTGTAGTTTGGCGTTTCTTTTTCCATTTGAAATCAGGTTTTTGTTCCTCTGTGTGTGTTCTTTGCAATCCCTTTATACATACATGGTCACAAATATTGACGTTTGGATAAGGGTGGATTATGGACTGAACTTGTAAACTTAGGAATGTCGCTGAATCCCTGCCTTGTGCAGTTGGCAAATAAATGTGGGATTTCCTGTTACAGTGTTTTAGATTCTTGTTTTTCCCCTTGTGAATGAATAAGGCAACAGAACACTGCTGAAATCCTGTTGTCAGATGTGTGTGCATTCAGGCTTGCTTTCTCTGGGCATTTTGTGTATGTGTGTGTTTCACCCTAAGGAACGTTTTACTGAGCATCAAAGAAGCACTGTTTTTTTCTAACAACTTCCATTTTAAAAACCCTAACATGCTAAATAAGTTTCATAATTCAACTCTGAATTGTAGAGACAGTTACATAGAGTTAATATATATTGCCATCATCCCTGGTTCAGATAAATTCAAATGTGATAATCGTTCACGTCAGTATTCTCTATATTTTAAAAAAATCTGTATGGAGCTAAACTGTTGTTTAATCTATCACATGACTCTAGGTAAATAGAAGAAGGTGTTTTTAAGGAGCATGACTAGAAAGGCAAGTTAGGAACAGCAGGAGAATTTATTTAGTACTGATGTTGTGGTTGGCACTCCATAGTACACAAAAATAGGTAATGCTAAAAGTAGTTTATCATCTGTTTTAATGAAATGAAAGGAAGATTTATGGAAGGAAGGCCGTTTCTTGGCAAACAGAGGTTTTAAAATTTGGCTTAGTCTGTGTGTGTAGGAATCTAATCTGGTTTCAGCACTGCTTGGTTGTAAATAGAATAATAATAAATTTTTATCACCTGTGTCTTCCTTCTATCATTACATTTATCCTAGTGAACTTGCACAAGCATGAACTTGCTCATGCAGCACTTGCCTGGAAGTAATTTGGTATTTATTATTTCTAATCATTGTCAGTAATGATTATTAATTTATGTGGCTGTGGCTGAAATAGCCTCACCACTCTGAGTGCCTCTGCAGGTCTGTGCTGGTGGTGTTTCATAGAATCACAGCCTGATTTGGACTGGAAGAGACCTTAAAGATCATCTTGTTCCACCTCCTGCCGTGGACAGGGACACCTTCCACTCTCCCAGGTTGCTCCAAGCCCCGTCCAACCCGGCCTTGGACACTTCCAGGGATGGGGCAGCCACAGCTTCTCTGGGCAACCTGTGCCAGGGCCTCTCTGAGTAAAGAATTTCTGTTAGCATCTACTCTAAATCTCTTCTCTTTTAGTTTAAAACCGTTCCCCTTTGTGCTGTCACTGTCTGCCCATACAAAAAGTCCCCCTCCCTCTTTTCTGTGAGCCCTCTTGAAGTCCTGAAAGGCTGCAGTGAGGTCTCCCCAGAGCCTTCTCTTCTGGACACCCACAGCCTGTCTCCATAGCAGAGGGTCTTCTGCCCAGCCCTCGGAGCATCTCCTTGGCCTCCTCTGGTCTTGCTCCAGCAGCTCCACGTTCCACTGATGTTGGGGGCCCCAGAAGTTGACACAGCACTGCAGGTGGGGTTTCCATGGGATTGGCACAGGAGAAGGGTCTCCTGCTTTACCTGATTCTCCTGGACTGTATTTATACCTAAAACTGGACAGTAGTGTTGTCTTGCAGGATGTGTAGTTCAGAGACCTCCTTGGGCAACAGACTTGTGTTTCTGATAAGGACTTTTTTGCTTTGTGGTGTCACTGGGGCACCATCAGTAGCAACGGTTGGACTTGATCATCTTTGAGGTCTTTTCCAGACATAATGATTTTGTGATTCCGTGATTCTAAGAACTCCTTCATTTCCATGGCAGCATATGTTCATGGAGGATCCTAAAGCCCTTGTCAGGACCCCTGAACTGATAGAGAGTGGTTTGACTTATGGGAAAAAGTCTTGTACGAGCTGAAAAATGGACTACAATACAATACACTCCCTGTCATGGAGAAAAACTGGGGGGGGTGAGGGGAAAAAAAAGGACTGTTTTCACACAGGAGAACAAAATATCTGTGACATCAGCTAGCTTGGGGAGCAGTCAGTGAGGGCTGAATCTTTGATGGGTGTGTGCCAGAGTCTTGAACAGTCTCTGTGTTGCTGTTTTGGATGTCGTGTGCTCTCATAGAGCAGTTGCTCCCTTTTGTGTACAGCTTCCTCCTGTTTTCAGTGTAATTTCCACAGCAGATGAGGTTTCATTTTAAAGATCCTTCTCTAGATTCCTTGGCATGGAGGTAATTATCCAGCTGAAGACTGGGGGAATCTGCTGTACCAGGTAGTAATAATTTTGTAGTCCCAAAACCTGACCTGAAATGGGTCATTCTGTTGCAATATTTGCTTTGTTTCTGTTGTGCTGCCTATGCAGCTCTGCCAGCTCTCACTTCTTATCTGGTTAATGCTAATGTGTACACAAGCAAGCAGAAGAAAGAGCATAGTGGATTGAATCTGGATTTGTTCAACTTCATAGTTTCTAAAATGAAAAAGCTCTGAGCTGGTTAACATCTGTTTTAGCATCTGTCTTGGGATGCATTTGAGGTTGGTCATCATCTGTGTCATACAGAACTCCTCTTACAGAACTTTCAGTGTAATACTTAACTTGGAGTGAAACTGCCCAAATAAATGAGACAGAAAATTCTCATTTAGTGCCAGAGTTCAGACTTAAGTGCATCAGCCGTGTTGGCAGTATTACAGAATCAGATTGCTCTTAAAACTTTATTTTTCTCCCTCTTTGTAGGGGTCAAACTCCAGCTGAATCTGACTTTCAAGTGCTCGAAATTGCCCGGAAACTGGAGATGTATGGCATCAGATTCCACCTCGCCTCCGACCGTGAGGGCACCAAAATCAACCTGGCAGTCTCACACATGGGTGTGCTGGTGTTCCAGGTACGGCGGGGACGGCGGCGTCTGTCCGTCTGTCCTTTAGCATGTCCTGGAGTAAGTCTCTCATTTTAATATCAGGTGTCTCTGATCACTTCAAAATCTAGCGCGTTTTATGGTCAAGGAGTGTCATGTAAGTCCCCAAAATATTGTTTGACGCAGTTTGTTCTTGCTGATGCAGAGCAGAGAGCGTCAAAGCCGACAGCGGCGGTGAAGTAGAGGGGTTTTGTGTGAGAGTTAGATGTGTGATCAGGGAACATCATCAATTCAATTCGTTTGGTGCAGCCCTGGGACAGGTTTGTCATCCTGGAATTTTAGGTCGGTTTCCCTTCTTTCAATGTTCCAGTGTATTTTTGCCAGGATTCCGTTGCTCTTAGTGTGTAGAAGTGCTGATTGATTGAAGTGATTGGACCAATTAGTGTTACTGTGTTTGTTGTGTTAAATAAGTGACTCAGTGCTCAGAGTCCTGTTTATGAATGCAGTTATATTGTTTTCCTCTCACCAAAACACAGAGGCAGCTGATCTACTAAAATACTTCCCTTTGGGCACTCGTTTTCCATTTATTTTGTGTTTTACCTGTTCTTTGGTGGGGAAGCTTCTTTTTGGAGGTGCATCATGCAGTCCTGCAATTCCTTTTGCAGACTCCTTGGTGACCTCTTTCTTGTTTAAGGGAATATTGTCACCAGAACTAAAAATACAGCAGAATGTACTGGGGTGGGGAAGGTGTCTACATGCACATGTCTATATAACTGCAACAGAATTATGTTTGTTATTCCACCCTTCTGAAACTTTTGCCAACTTTTAACCTTTTTCATTTTAATTCAGGGTAACACGAAAATCAATACCTTCAACTGGTCCAAAGTCCGTAAACTGAGCTTCAAGAGGAAAAGATTCCTTATTAAGCTCCACCCAGAGGTCTGTGCAAGTTTTTCTGTAATATAGACTGGTCAGTTGAAAAAAATACCTATGCTTCATTTTATTATGAACATTTCTAGAGTTGGTGATTTTATAAAACAGCCTCAGCAGGGCAGGCTTCTCTTCATCATTCAAGTATAAATCTTTCCTTTCTCACCTCACAGCTGTCACCTTAGATCTTTAGGTTTTGTGTTTCAGCCTCAGCTTACCCTTAACATAGGCATACACATGCATAAATGTAAGACAGAAAAAAATTACTAAACCCAAGTATTTGGTGCATCCTGTCTCTGTACTTCTACTCTGAAAAAGTTACATCTAGTTTCTTGATTCAAATGAGAATAACGTGTTACACCTCAGGAGGGAGTAGGTGGCTGAGATTGTATTGTTGGAGCTTAATTTTAAGAGTAGTGTGATTACTCTTGCTTTATCTTTTGTATGCATCTGTATAGCAGAAGTGTTATTTTTCATACTTGGCTGATTTACAGTAGATGTTTTTGATTGCAGATGTCATCAAAGTTGTTGTTGCTTCCACGCTGCATGACTAGGTTAATTTATATTAATTTATATTAGAAAAGGGGCAAAACCCACCTTTGAACATAATATAATTACATGTATCAAGGACACCTGAAACAGGACACAGTGTCTGCCTGTGTAGTAATGACCCTCAGAAATTTCATGTGATAACTGTACTCTGACATATGCAGTATTTAACAGTCTTGTCTAAATCTCAGAAAGTGAGAGAAGCATCAGAACTCCTAAGAAAGGAGAAGTATTTTAAAATTGCTACTATTTCACTTACATATTTTAATTTCTTCGGAATTTCTAAAGGTGGGTTATGTTGAGCATGTTTCTAAAGCCAAGTGCATTTTAAACACTTTTACAGTTTCAAGGTAAGCGAATATTTTTGAAAGCTATTAAATGGTTTTTGACTACCATCAGAATCACTCCTATGCTTTAAGGCATATGAGAAGTGACTTAGCAAAATTCTGCATCTCACTGGAGTTCAGCCTTTTTGTTTGCACCCATTTGTTCTCTCCTTTACTCCTCATTGTCATTTTATGTGCTACTTAACTTCTGTGTTTTTTTTCCCAGGGCCCGTATCAAGATACGTTGGAGTTTCTTTTGGGAAGTAGGGATGAGTGTAAAAACTTCTGGAAAATCTGTGTAGAGTATCACACGTTCTTTAGGCTATTTGATCAGCCAAAGCCAAAGGCTAAAGCAGTGTTCTTCACCAGAGGGTCATCGTTCAGATACAGGTAGGGAGAAACAGAACAGATTCATTAGAGCTGAACTCATTGTGTCTTAGAAAATGAGATCAAAAGGAAGAAGTATTCTAAAGTCATTCCATCTCTAATGCTCATCCCCTGTGGTTGATAACGTTTGTACTTTTGTGGGTTCACAGTGGACGAACACAGAAGCAACTAGTGGATTATATTAAGGACAGTGGGATGAAGAGAACCCCATATGAAAGGTGAGATCAAAGAGCTTTGTAAGGTGAAATGTAGCTGGGACTTTCACAGTGCCCTTCTTGGCTAAATTTCGGTGTTTTAAATGCTGCTTGGAGGCATGGCCATTCTCAGTTACTAAGGTTTCTCTCAAAGTAGCTGAGCTAAATGTAAAAAAATTATCATTTTGTGATGATTTAAGAAGCTTAGGAAAGTTTCAGTATAATATATTGATGTCTGTGGACAATGTGTGGCTTAGCCATCTGAAAGTTCAGCATGTATTGAAGATTCCCTGACATTACTGAGTCTGTGTGCTACTGTAGCTGTGCAAGCAGCCAGTGGCAGAGCTCATAATTGAACTTGGGATCTGCAAGTCTGAAACCATCACCTTAAATACTCATTTGTTTCTAAACATACAAATATATAAATTAAGAATGTGCCTTTTTATTATAAAATTGTCATTTCCTTACTAGACACTGAAAGCTGTCCTGTCTGCATGTGGGAAACTCCTCCTAGTCTTTGATCTGAAAGAGTATAGGGACTTATTAGGAATTTTTAAAAGTTTGCATTAATCTAGTATTAATAAATATTTTTTATGTCTCAGACTCCAGCTGACCTCCTTTTCTATATGAAAAATTGATTTTCTAGTTAATTATTGACATAGAATGAATCTAACCATGAGTGTAATGCAAGATACCACTTTCTGGGGTCTAACATACAGAATTTTATACGATTGACTGAATTTGTAAAAATTTGTAAAATTATTGCGTGTTATGGTTCTGAAGCCATTCGTTTGTAGATGTTTATTCTGATGTCAAAGGAAATGGTAACAAGAGACTGACACCCACCTGTCAACAACTCCCTGAGTGTAGCCAAGTTTGTTGGGGTTGGTCTCTTCTCCCAGGTAACAAGTGACAGGACGAGAGGAAACGGCCTCAAGTTGTGCCAGGGGAGGTTTAGGTTCGATATTAGGGAAAACTTCTTCACTGAACGGGTGGTCAGGCTCTGGCACAGGGTGCCCAGCACAGTGGTGGAGTCATTATCCCTGGAGATGTTCAAAAAACGTGGAGATGGGATGCTTGGGAACACAACTTCATGCTGGGCTTGGCAGTGCTGGGGGAGCAGTTGAACTTGATGATCTTAGAGGTCTTTTCCAACCTGAATGATTCTGTGATTCTATGAATGATCTGGGTCTTGCTTTATTCTGTTTTTTGTGTGTTTCTTGCTCCTGCATAGTTTAATTTACAACTCTTTTGAGCTTTTTAAATCTTGAACTAGTTTTTTAACAAAACACAGTAAAATAGAGCTTGAGACGAGCCTGTTGGCTGCTGGAATGGCAGTGGGTGACTGGGGAAGGGAGGAGGCTGGTTCATGTCTTGGATGCTCACAGGCTGCTCTGTCCCACAGGAGGCACAGCAAGGTCAGAGCATCCACTCGCGCCTCCAACACAGATGTGCCAAAGCAGGTCAGTTCTGCAGTGCTCTTGGTGTTGTGGTCAGGGGCATGGACAAACAGCTTTCTGAGGTGATGGTGAAGGAGTCAACCCTCCAGAATTGCTTTCACTGTTTGGTCTTCATCCCTGCTTCGCAGTTCTTTTTGTGGGTGTTACTGGTTTGATAGTTGTAGCCAATGGAGCGTAAAGTGAGTAGTATTTTACTTTTCAAAGTTCAGCTGAACTGAAAAGGAAGTGTCAGACTTTCTAGTATGTTATTATTTCAGAGGATTAGTTTGTCTCCAGATACTCTCTGGCAGTCTCGAGTTCATTGTGTAGATGCCTTCTGCAGCCCACGGCAAGAAACAAGCGTTTCACCGAATGCACTTGTGTTACGTGGGAGAGGTTAAGGAAGCATCACGGAATTTCACTGTCATTTTGTTATTTTTCCTTGTGGATGCTTGTTCAGCAGAGGCTGTAAAATACACGGATTTAATTTTCCATCCAGTTACCAGAATTAAAGAAAACAGACCTTGTTTCTTCCAGGGGCTGCTGGATCAGCTTCTGTGCAGTGTTTTGTTTGCTGTAAAGTGAGCTCCTCTGAAGCACATATTCTTTCTGCATCTGTATGTAACTGGATGTTTCAGTTGTTTTTATGTATTACAAAAACCTTTTTATCTGTTGTGTTTCTGCTTTTTTTCCCCTCTTAGAGTGTCCCATTCACTGAGGGCTTGAGAACCCCAGGGTCTCCTGCCTCGACAGCTGCTCCCTTTTCTTCAGTTCGCTCCTCGGCCAGTCCTGCTCCTGTCCTGCCCATCTTTGCTGAATCCAGCCCTTCCTCCTTGGACCCCCGAGCACCGTACACAAGGATTCCAGACAAAACCACTGCAGCACCAGCAGAAGAAGCGGGGAGGAATCTGATGCAGCAACCCGGATCTCCCATGCTCCAAGGTGTTGGGTTTGGTAGTGTTGAAGGAAACTGTAACCTGTCTTGTCCTGTTGTTGAGAGTGATTGTGGTGTAGATGTAGACATAGAGAGGAGTAGTAAGGAGAGCAGGGTTGCTGGTTGTAAAAATGACAATGATGAGGATGACTTTACCACAGGTGTATTCATTGCCGAAAAGGAGCAGCAGCACGGCAACCGGGGTGCCCCTCTTTTCACACTGACAAATGCACAGTTACAGGTGTCAGAGGAGTTTATTGATGATGACCCAGCAGAAATGTCCTTTTTTGCTGGGGGCTCTGAGGCATTTTCCTATGTGTACAGTGGGTTAGAGTTAAAGGGTTCTGAGTTTTCTAAGTGTATGTCGGAGTCACCTCGTTTAACTACAGCTGCCCTCCAGCAAAACACAGTCTCTGCTCAGTCGAGCCCCGACAGGTACTCAACTGAAGCTGTGGATATGAACATGGAAGAGGAGTTTGAATTTGAAGAAGGGAGTGATTTCAACGGCAACGAGAGGCCATCGGACACCTCAGAGCTGTTTGAGGTGAAGGCCCAAGCGAGCAGAATGCAAAGCCTCCTGAGCCCCTCTGAAACGAGTTCCCTCATCAACAACCGCTCTGAGAGCAGCTCCCTCAATAACCTGCCGCTGAATGGAACGTCCTCCCTGCATGCCTATGGCTCTGCCAACCATTCCGAGGCCAGCTCCATGGTGAACTTCCCTGCCTACTCAGTGCGCTCCGAGTCCAGCTCAGCCTTCCAGTTCACGGACATTATTGACCAGCTGGAGCAGCTGAGCTATCCACCCACCACCACAGAAGACTCCAGCAGCACGGACACGGACTCCTGGGACTCCGGGACTGCTGCGCCTCTGGATGTAAATCTTTTCTTTAGTAACCCTTTTGCTCAAGCTGCTGGGGATAACTTCGGTTTTGACTTTCAGAACAATTTAAAAAACCTCACGCAAGAAGACTGGACAGAGAAGTCACACGTCAGTCGCGAGTCTTGATTTTTGTGATCGATCCCTCTGTGCTGTTCAGACTTGGAAGTCAAAAGGGTGTGATCAGTTGCTTTAGGAAAGAAAACCCCAATCCAGTGGCTGGATTTTTAAATCACATAATGTAGTTAATTTTTTTTTTTTTTGTTAATTCATATACCTCTTCAGTTTCCCTCAAGGCATCCAGGCTGTGGTGCTGTGTTTCCATGCATCACACTGCATCAAGAACAGGTTATAATACGCTACAATGTTGGAAAATACTGCATTTAGGAAAACCCACTGATTTCAAAGAACTTAAGTATCAACTGGCTCATGCAGACATCACAACTTACAGTATACTGAAGGATTTCTTTGGCTAAAAACATATCTGTAAGAGTCTGATATATGCTGTTCCTGCAACACCTGCATAAAACAGTCACTTTTGCACATGCTTATTAACCAGCAGCTGCTTCCACTAAATTGCCCATTTTCCAGCGCTGTAGCAAGATCCACATTTTGTTTTTGTTTCCACAATCAAAAAAAAGAACACTCTTCAAATCATCTCTGAAGGACAGTTTTAAAATATCAACCTATGCAACATGTCTGTGGTATGCTTCGAAGAACAAATAGCCTGCGTGGTAGTTGGGAAGAGAGAATGTGTACACAACCAAACTTCTTGTGAAGACAATCATATTTGCTGACTCCCAAGTGCCTTCAGCAGCCCAGCAGCAAACATTTTGCAGCAGTTTGGAGATATACAGAGACTATAAAAGCACTTAATCCCCATCGCATTTTGTCTCACCTTCTTTCTCGTTATTTAGTCACTCTGCCTAAAAATACTTACAGGACACTTTTCTGAATTAATTTGTATCTGTGGAGGACAGCTAGTGGTAAACCCGGTGATAGCTTTAACTTTTTCTTTAAGATATGGGCTATATTCAGAAAAATATAAAATTTTCTGAGAAATTGAGTTGTTAGGAGGGGTGAATACTGGAGACCACAGTTAGAGCTTCAGGGCTTTTATACATTCTTTTAGGTGGGTGACTTCGATGTGAAACTTGACCTATAAGTTTGAAAGCGTAATTGAAAAGACAGTTACTGAACTGGTCACATCTAATTTAGCAACATTTATTGAGGCGAAACAGCAAAAGTTGTGAAATGTCCTCCCTAACTGCCGTGGTTTGGGGTAGTGACATTACAGAATCACAGAATCACAGGTTGGAAAAGACCCCCGAGATCAGAGAGTCCAACCTGAGCTTCGGCTCGTAATAGCAGTTTTTAGAGTATTTTGCTTTTGTACAAGCAAGAATGTGAAATCCATTACACCTGACCCAAATCTTGTGCATCATCTCCTTCAGATGTTTTTGGGGTTTCCTTCTGCCCGGTTTTCAGTCCTTTGCAGAGAGAGTGCAGTGCTGATACAGTCAACGCCTCCAAAATAAGCAAATTAGTTACAATCATACCTTTATGCTCAATATTACTGATATCAGTTAAAGACCTTAATTGTTTACTCAAACATTTAAAAAGTACTATTATTTCTCAAAATTCTGATAACTGAAACTTTAATAGAATTTTTCTCAACATGTGGCAGGACACGAGGAGGTAAAACCTCCTTTAGTCACCTATTTCTTCCAACTTAGTTTTACCAAGATGTGATTATTCTGCACAGCACTTGCTTTTATCTCACTTGACTTACTGTGTTTTAGTGAAGTCTCTGTTGTCCCACGAGAAACCTGTCTGCTTTGCCAGTGGTACAGAAAGCCAAAGCACTTTTAGAACAAAGTATTAGCTCAGACCTCCCAGAATGTACAGCAGTTTGCTGTTTTTGTCGTTTATAAGTGCTGTATGTTACTTGTATTTCTCTCCTATTGAATGTGTGTTCTGGCTCTTTGTGTGACTTTATTCAGGCCTGTGGAGATGATGTCCTGCATGTGTGGTGTGACATTTCAAAATAGGACTTGGAGGAGGTCTGTAGTGGTGTCCAAAGCTGGTGCCTTTAAGTATGTTTTTAGGTGCTTCGTCTGATTTCCTCTCACAATGAACTAGTAAGGAAGAAAAAGAAACCAGAAAAAAGACAGAATTCTGTCTGCAAACTCTCTAACAGGTGGCAGCATCAGGGACAAATATATAGATAAAGATTTAGAGAAAGGCTGTTAGTTTCTTGGATCTATTAAAAAAAGAATCAGGATTCAGCTATTACATATAACTTTGCCTCTGTTTCATGTCCTGTGCCCCAGTCACAAGCGTTCCTTCTAAATGTGTTAGAATTGCTTAATATGGGAATAAATCCAACTAAATTCTCTTGGTTTTCAGAAGATCTTAGGAGAAAGCTGCCTGTATTTTCGATGGACAGGCTTCCCAATTCTCTTTCTTGCATCACAGTTAGTTTGAAAAGGCATCTTCAATGTTTTTCTTCTTGTAATTTGCAATGGTGCAGATCTTTTATTGGCTGTTTCAAATCTCAGGGATTTTTTTTTAAAAGAAACTAATAAGAGTCTTAGTGTAGTGCCCCTTTTGTTTTCTGAAGGAATGGGAGTGACTGGAATCTCAATCCTTTAGCTTAGGGCAGGCTATGTGGATCCACAGGTGAGGACAGAGCAAGGGGAGCTTTGACCCTGCTACAGATATTTTTAGATGAAGGTTTTAGTTAGAGTGAGAGTTCAGAGCTGCTGCTGTGCCCCTGGTAGTCCTGTATGTGCTCTGGCTGACTGACAGCATAGAGCTGTCGTGGTTTCCCTCTATGCTTCTCTTGATTTCCAAAGCCATGTGGCTTCTGAGGATATCGTTGCATAGTGAGCTGTGTTTTTTTGTTCATGGTTTCCCAGACAGACACAAAAGAGTAGAAAATTTAGTTTGTGATTAGAGTTTTTATTATAGCAAGAAAGCTGTGAGCAAAGGTTCTTCATCATTTCCTTCAGAGGGATAAGTTCAGAGTCACTTTCCAGTACAGTTGGAGAGAAAAACCAGCTGCCCTCAAGGGAATGGGATGGTTCCAACCTTTGCAGGGAGCTTGAACACCATGTGTGGGTTATTTCAATGCAGTGGAGCCATGCCAGGCATCCTCTTCTCCACTGACTGTCTCCTGAGATGGCAGGAGAAGGTGAGAGAAGGAATGGCTTTCCCTGCTCTGTCCCCTTCATTTGTCTTTGAGTGGTGTGAGGGAGCTGGTGACCTGCGAGGCAGCGTGGTGTGTCCCGAGTCCTGCCGATGCCGCTGAGCTCTCAGCATTGTTCCCTGGGGTTTGCGTGATTTTCTTTTCACAGTGTTGATACTAAAAATTTAGTTCCTGGTACTGATTTCTGTTTGTTCCCTGAACACACAAGTTTTCTTTTCACGAAGGTGAGCAGTGAGCTGGCAGGTGTGGCGGCGTTGGTGCCAACCACCTCACCGAGAGCCAGGAGCCTCGCAGGGCCCTGAGCAGCGACCGCTGCTGCAGGAACCACGTGCGTGGAAAACAGGGCAGGTGACTTAGAAAAAATGAGGAGATCTTTGTCAAGTATCCCATGCAAGAAGAAAGCATTTGAGGAGCTGTGGTAGAGCAGGTAAAGCCTAGGTGTAAACGTCACGAGTCCAGGGCCCAGTGAGTGGTCGCCCCCCCTGCCCCCGACACCCACCTCTGCAGGTACGTTCTTTCACGTTTGCTTTCTGACCCCCCTCTGCAGGAGGCTGGGGGGACATACACAGGTACGAACGTTTCTAGTCAATGCACAGGTTTTAGGGCTGTGTTTTTCCAGTAGGGGAACCACAGGGGTTTCCAGGTTTGTTCCCCTGCTCCGCACAGCGCACCCAGCAGCTGTTGCAGCGATGGCTCAGCAAAAGGAGGGTACTGGAGCCATCACTCCTACTCCACAGGGAGTTTTCCTGTGGAAGCAGGGCTGTTTTCCATCCTTCCACGTCTCTCTGTTCTGTTTTAGCAAACACATGCAGCTGCAGGAAGCATGTTAATACCAGTGGCTTTTCCCAATGAGTTAGTTAGGCTGCTGGGCTTAGCTCTGCAGTACTCAACTGCACATTGCAGTGTGACTAAAAGGCACC